CTTCCTCTTTTTCTCTGACCCTCCACCTTACCAAACATGATATCCTTCTCTAGCGACTGGTCCCTCCTGACAATCTGTCTGAAGTATGAGAGACGAAGGCCATCCTGGCCTCTAAGGAGCACTCTGGCTGCACTTCTTCCAAAACAGATCTATTGGTTCTTTTGATAGCCCATGGCACTTTCAATATTTTCCTCCAAGAGATACCTCGTAGCTTCATTTATTCAAGCCTGTTTTTTTTAATGACCTTTTCAAAAAAGTGCTTTCCCCAGGCTATAAATTATAATGTGGGCTCTAAAATTATTGATCATACAGTAATGGTCTTAGTGGATATACCTGTTGTGATTACGGAACTTTTTGAAAAATCTGAAATCTCTAGGGTAGCTGTTTGAGACTCTTCACACATATTCTACTTCCTGATATTTTATCTGCCAAATCACTAAATGGCTAATGGTAATAGTTTGTTTCTGATCTTTTTAAATCAAAAATTTAAATATGTTGGAGTTTATACTGAAAATGTGTTCTAGTTAAATATCCAATTAAATAACAGTCAGGATCTGTTATTTATAACTATTCAGTTGGAATCCAGGTGTGGCACTGTAGAATAAAGCTCTAGACCGCAAGGTCAGCTTGAACTACAAGATCTGTGGTTGAAACTCACCAGTCACTCCTTGGAATCCCTATTCAGGGTTGCTCAGAGTCAGAACCGACTTGATGACACTTAACAACAACAAACATTCAGCTACTTGTCTGTCTATTCATTTTTCTTAAGTTCTTGACAGGTGTTTAGAATTTTGTCCCTCTTCTTTCAGCAAGGATGATGTTGTTGTTGTAGTTGTTGAGTGCCGTCAAGTCTGTTCTGACTCCTAGTTTCCCTGTATAGGTTTCTGAGGAGCAACTGGTAGGTTTCAACCAACCACATTGCAGTTAGCTATCCAGTGTTTATTTACAGCACCGGATCAGGGCTATGTTGGTGTTGTTGTTAAGTGCTGTTGAGTTGCTTCTGACTCACAGCGACCCTGTATAGGCTTTCCAAGAAGTGACTGGTGGGTATAAACCACCAACCTTGAGATTAGCTCAGCAGAGCTTATCCTACAGCACCATACCAGGTCTCCTACCCTCTAAAACATATTTCTGCTGAATATTTGTGTAGACATAAGAAAAGCTGACAGTATCACCCACATACTACATTAGGAACTACTCACACACCCACCATTGCCCTGGAGTCTATTTCAACTTGTAGGAACCCTATATGACAGAGTGGAATTCTTCCATAGGGTTTCCAAGACAGCCTCATCTTTCTCCTTGTGGTTAACAGGAGTTAACCTGTTAGGAACTAAGAGGTTCCTAATCCTTCCCTGAAAAACCATTCCAGTCATTTCCCAAGCTGTAGGAAATGTTGCTGCATTCTTCTTTATGTCCTAGAATATTTGCATGCTTCCTCTGTGTCTTCAGCCAAGATTTCTAAAAGAGATCCCTTAAATCCGAACATTCTGTATAAAAATAATGAAAGAGTTCATGAGAGAAAAGTTCCAATTTATTCTTTTGACAAGTTTAAGTGTTTTTATTGTCAATCTACATTTTAAATTGAACCTAGTTCCTTATGCTGCTCATAGTTTCTGTGTTGGAAAGTCTCCTCACCCCTGAATTATACTTTTTGATTTTTGTCCACTTCATTACAGTGAGTTCCTTGCAAGACAAGGGACTTTGAGGAGCTTTTTAAATTAAGAGAGGGAATCTATGTAAGGATATGAACTGGGTGAAATTTTATTTCAGGGGACTATGGAGCAAATGCGTGGTAGGTGTAACAACATATGAATAAGTGGTGGTTTGTGCTAAGGGTGGAGTGTGATCAATTTTGTTGTTGCTATGAAGTGCCATCGAGTCGGTGCCAACCCTTAGTGATTGTATATGAGCAGTATAGGGTGTATTAGCAGTGGCGGTGGTTGTGTGCCGCTGAGTTGGCTCCAGTTCATATTGTTGTTAGTGCCATCGAGTTGTTCTGACTCAGTGCAACCCTGTATTGGAGCAGCTGGTGAATTTGAACTGCTGACCTTGTGGTCCAAACTGACCTTGCAGTCCAGGGCATTATCCCACCAGTGCCATACCAGTACTATATGGAGTTTCCGAGGCTGTCAGTCTTCATGGGAGCAGAACGCCTCATCTTTCTCCCATGGAGCAACTGGTAGAGTTGAACTGCTGACCTTGCAGTGAGCAGCTTAGCTCATAATCCACTATGCTACCAGGCTCTTTATATTAGCAGTGGTTATTGTTAAGTGCCGTCGAGTTGGTTCCGATCCATAGCTACCCTGAACAGGGTTTCCGAGGTTGTAAATCTTTATGGGAGCAGAAAGCCTCATCTTTCTCTCGCTGAGCAGCTGGTAGTTTCGAACTGCTGAACTTGCGGTTCGCAGCCCGATTCGTAACCACTACGCTACCAGAGCTCCTTTAGATTATCAGTAGATGATTCTTTATTTTAATCTTAGGTCTTAAAATGCTTTGTCATTTTTTTTCAAAGCTCATCCTCTGGATGATAGCATTGACTGTATTAATTGCATAATAATAAAACTTACCATTGCTTAAACTTTAGCTACGATGACTTAATTTCTAATTTAAAAGATTGTTTTCTGATTTTTTTTGTTTTAGATCCATTTTCCCCATCCACCCATCCTTCAGAATCATCGCCCTGGCAGAGCCCCCTGTTATTGGAAGCACTACACAACAGTGGCTGGGACCCGAATTCTTAACCATGTTCTTTTTCCATCATATGAAGCCACTTGTCAAAAGTGAAGAAATCCAAGTGATTAAGGAAATGGTAAGAGTGAGGCGAGCTCCAGCCTATGGTTTTGAGCTATTTTCTTTTAATGGCACTCTGTCGTATGCTGGAGTAGAATTGGAAGTTTCTAGATTTTTCTTCCAATTATTCCTGAGCTTTCTTATGATATAATAGGGGTAAGTCACTGGTTGTCAAACTATCATTTTTCAGAATCCTCTGGAGAACTTGGTAAAACTCTATTTGACAGGCTCTATCTCCAGGGTCTACTGACTCTGTTGTTGCTGTCTACTGTAGATCTAGAGTTGTTGCTGTTCAGTCTTGTTGAGCCGGTTCCGACTCACAGCAACCATGTCTAAGGTTTCCAAGAGCAGTTGATGCCTTTGAATCACCACACCAGTACTCCTAGGTCTAGAGGAGTTCAGGAGAATTTGCATTTCTAACAAGTTCTCAGGTGCTGCTGGTCCAAAGCTATATTTTGAGAACCGTTAATGTGAACCTCTTTCCCTTTCCTCATGTGGAGTCAGTTTTGGACTTACTTTTGATTTATATTCAGCCACAGTGTCTGTTTAAATTTCCTGCTGTCAGAGGAGGCCAGCTATATTTTAAATCCGTAGATTTTGTATAATGTACTAAGTAGTCCTGGCCTCCTCAGGACTATGTTGTTACTGTTGTTTCTTAAGTGCCATTGAGTCAGTTCTGACTCTTAGCGCTTTCCAAGGCTGTAAATCTCTGCAGGAGCAGAGAGCCTCATGTTTCTCCCATAGGGTGACTGGTGGGCTCAAGTTGCTGACCTTGTCGTTTGCAGTTCAGCGCTTATCCTACCACATTCCCATGCAGGACTATAATGTGTCCTATATTTATCTGATGAGTTGTCTGGTAGCTTTTTTAATGATTAAGTCATTTATGATTTCAATGTTTGCCTCAACTTCATACTGCGTTTTATACATTTAGAGTTCTAAATTTGTGCTAATCACTGTAATAGACAGTGTGCAATTCAATGTGATAGCCTCTGGCCACTTGAAATAAAATTAAACATTCAGTTTCAAAGTCACATTTCAGAAGTTACTTGGGGACTTGTGACTACCATATTGGACAATATCAGTACGGAACATCGCCATCATCACAGGAAAGTCTATTGGATCACTAGTAATTGATTTTTTGTATAACTGCATTTTAAGCCCCTTCAAATATCTGGAACAAATTGCTTAATTTTAGATCTTGTTATAAACATGATCATGGATAAAGAACTATAGACTTTAGAGTAAAACAACTTGGTTCTAAATGCCAAATTCACTACTTATTAACTTACAGATCTTGGAAAAAATCTTTTATCCCTGGTTTCTTGTCTGAGTCTTGGTGTGATGCTGTAGGATAAGCACTGGATTGCCAATTACAGTGTCAGCAATTCAAATCCACCAACCACTCAGAAACTGTCTATGGGTTGCTGTGAGTCAGAACCAACTCAACAGCATACAACAATAGCAATGTTCCTGATCTGAAAATGTGGAGGATAATAACTCTTGTTATATCACAGAATTAATTTCAATAATTAACAAGATAATTTATGTACTGTGTAGTTTTTAAGTACTGTGGAGTTGATTCCGACTCATATTGACCCTGGATAGGGTTTCCAAGGCTGTAAATCTTTGTAGGAATAGAAACCTCGTCTTTCTTCCGTGGGATGGCTGGTGGGCTCGAACCACCAATCATGTGGTTTGTAGTCCAGTGCTTATCTTATAGAGCCAGTGTGTTCTCATGTACTATATAGGGCTTAGAATTTAAAAACTAAAAAGTTCCCCTCACTTAAAGTAACCGAATAAGTCCTTAGCAGTAGACTTGCGAAGAAGTAGTTGTATTATGAGTCATTGTTCTGACAGCTGACATCTTTTTAGTTTTACATTTAAATTCAATTACATTTTAAATGAACAATTTTAACTTGTTGCAATTTATATTTAAATTTCTTCTAAAGAAATCAAATTAGGCATTTAATTGCATTAAGATTTGTTCTGATTAAAAACGATTGATGTGTGTGTTATTTTGAGCAATTGTTCTTCAAAGCTCATTGATGCCACTCGAGTAAGTGTTTTAAAGCCTGTGAAAAAGGACAGCTTGAGTATCCATTGTTTTTACAGGGATGCCTTATGTCACTGAGTGGACATAAATGTAAGGCTTATATGAAATAGAGGAGGTTAGATGTAGTAAGAAAATGTCAAAATGAGAGTTTAATAATTCATGCTGATGTTTTCATGGGTGCATTACATGCCAGTTTTTAAAGGCTGAGGTTCAAACCCACCAACACTTTTCAGAAACCCTATTCTCGATCGCTATAAGTTGGAACCGACTTGACAACACTTAGCAACAAGAACAACAAAGGCTCCCTTCTACATGTGTGCATATATGTTGTCAGTCGGACCAACTGGATGGCATTGTTGTTGTTGTTAAGTGCCGTCGAGTCGGGTCCGACCCATAGCGACCCTGTACAGGGTTTCCAAGGGTGTAAATCTTTACGGGAGTAGAAAGCCTCATCTTTCTCCCGCGGAGC